CCAAACACGAGCCCAGACACATGAAATGCCACGCGGGCCTGAGGGCGCCCTATATTGTTGTTTGGTTCAAGTTGAAGTTTTTTTTTTTTTTTTGGTTTTTATTTGGTGGCGACAAAGCTTTACAGTTCGTCTGGAATTTGTCATTAAGCGGATGTAAGCTGGCAGAAAATTGCTGTAAAACATATATGGCTGCATAGATAAGTGTGCAACAAATTGGTCAAAGCGTTGATAGGAAAAGGAAATTACAAGCAAAGCATATTGTAGAGGAAGTGTGCTCATTATGACAAGCTGTGTTTTGCAAAAATTTACTTGATATAGGCAATATATATTTTTAAAAAATAGTTTGATCTCACGCACATCCGAAACCTTAACAGCTACGAAGTTTAAGTGTTTACTGCACTTTCTTTTGGGTCGAAGGTAAGCACAAGAACGGGGACAACGGTGGTAATTATTTATATAAAAAAAAAAACATAAAAATCTATGTATGTATGAGGATCTCAGGATCTCAGAACCTATAAGAGCTAGAGACTTGAAAGATGTAGATGTAGATGCTCCTAGTTCCCGCGCAGATCGAGTTTGTTTCCGATAATCGATAACTTACTCCGATTCCAAGCAATCGATAAAAATCGATATCGATATCCTGTTTTTTTTGGACAATTTTGGTAAATAGTAATAACTAGAGTCACCAAACTTGACATATAGCTTCTAAAATAGAATATATATATGTATTTGATGTTGGAAGAAGAGGGTTCAGGGTATCCCCTAGTCGGGAGCTCCCGACTAGAACCTCTTACTTGTTTAATATTATTTTATTATCAACTATACTTTGCTTATTATAAAGAGGTGTACGTAAATCGAAAAGTAGATATGCATACGATAGGAATGTAGCCGAAATTGCCTGGTGTGCCACAAATTCTAATACTTAGATTCAATTGGGCTTTATATGTGTAAGTTGTAATTAATGCTGGAAACCATAGACTTGATCTACCAAAAATTAATTAACTGCCCAATGTCTGGCAAAAACTTTACATTTTGCTTTTAAAAGATTAATATTGAAGGTCTAAGCAGGTCTTATGGAAGCATTTGCTGCTACACATCTAAGCACTTTACATTTACCCATAATTTTTGATCTTGCTGTAAGCAATTTCAACCGAACCCAGACGCAGCCCCAATACCAACCCAACCCAACCTGAACCCATGCCAATTTCAAAACGTAGAAGCCCGAAAAATGTTGCACTAAGTATCTACTTGTTATTGGCATTTGCTGGCATTTACATTTTAATGCCGCCCACCGCAGGCTGGTGGCTCCTTGAGGGCAGGCCGGGACTCCTTTTGTTCTTTGCCAATTCATTTGCCGTATTCTCGTTTCATTTGCCTTTTGCTTTTGCCTTGCCCGGCGTACGAGTATGTTTTGGAACTTTCTGTTTACATTGCTTGTTGCCCGCTGTTGTTTTTGCTGTTTAAATATGCCGCAGTATTTAGCATGACAACGACTTTGACAACGACAACAAGAACGTTGTGGACCCAGGACCCGAGCGCCGTACAGGACCCCACTCCTTGCATTCGTCAGGCAATCGCTGGTTTGCGCAGTTCAAAGGACTTTCCCGTAACTGCCAATAACTCAGTTGGTTTTTATGTTCTTTGTGCCCACATTTTGCTGTTTGCACTCTCTATCCCGCTCCCTCACATATACTCTTTTCTGCTCTCACTCGTTAGTTCGACTGTTTGCTGTTTGTTGTGCTTTGTTTGCCTGCGGCTTTTGCATGTTTTTATGGAATTAATTAAAACTTTGCTTTCTGCTCATTTCCAGTCACCAGAAAGGACACGATCTAATGTCCCATGTATAAGTTGACCAAACCCAAAAACTAAGCTCAAATAATGCACAAATTGGACAATCAGCAATGGACATGCCCATCAATTTAATGCTTAATATCATTAAATAATTTCCCTACAGCAAACAAAAATGCTATATGCATAAACTCTACATGTGCGCGGAGTCGTGTGCTTATACGACTGTGATTACAAATTGTATATACGTTTTAAGAATATTTGTGAAAAATGTTCTATTTGTAAAATAAATTATAGACAACGTAGACAATAAAAGCAATATCTATTGAAGTTACTGGAAAATATGAGAAAAATTTCGAACAATTTATAATTGAGAGATTTTGCACTTACGTAATATTTATCAATTACTTGATTAATTCTTGCGAAATACTTACTCGAATATTCGAGATATAAGCCATTGAGCCATGATTTAACAAAATGAATTACATATGTATAGTTTCATGGAATATTAAAAAAAACATTTATCATTTTTTGAAAATATTTCAATTATCTATCTATCGCGCAACAAAATTTAGCCATTATTTTGCAAAATGTGCGTCATGCGTAAAATCAGCTTTGCCGCTTCGGTGGGAAACTGGCATATTTAATTTTCCCTGCAGATTTGTCTGTCTACATCAAACACTATATCAGCAAGCAAAATGCTCTACTAAATGCTCTACTTGGTTTCACGCCAGGCCGGATACGCAAATTTGAACGAAATTTAAAGCAGAGCTGCAATCGCAAAGAGCAGCTGCAAACAAGGTTGTAGTGCTATAATGGAAAATGCAGCATCCCACAAATCTGTTCGTTACCAAGGATCGTTACCAAGAATCCGTTCGTCAAGGATAGAAAGAGTAAAAGGAAAGGTTAGAAGGATAGATAAGTAAAAATAAAAACAAGTAAGAGGTTCTAGTCGGGAGCTCCCGACTAGGGGATACCATGAACCCTCTTCTTCCAACAACAAATGCATATATACATACATATATTCTATTTTAGAAGCTATATGTCAAGTTGGTGACTCTAGCTCTTATTATTTACCAAAATTGTCCAAAAAACAGGATACTTGTTTTTATCTAGATTTTTGGAACTAAATTTAAGCGCGAAACGTCACCCACCAAATCCTTGAACCCCATTTATACCATTTATACCATTTTGCATGCGAAAAGTGAAAAAGTCCTCAAAAGGTATTGAGATCTATCGGAAGGTAAGCAAAGTTTCATACACACGTTTTTCGCGATTTTTCCACAAGTGCGGGTGGAATTTCCTGAAATGTTCTGCATTGATCACCAATAAGTCAGTCAGACAGTCAGCACAAACAGTTTTTTATAGAGAGATTAAGATTATTTTTAGCTTTAAATTAAGGATATTTTATTCTGCTAACACCCTACTTGTTGTCACACTCTAGATTATGCTTTTAGCTTTCGATTTTTCTATTCTTATGTATTAAATAGTTAAGTTTCGTTAGTTCGGCCATTAATAAATAATAATAAAAGTAATGATAATAATAATAAGATGACAATAAGATGCTGGCAAAAATAGAGTTGAAGATGCCGCAGCAAAGCGCAAAAAAAAAAGAAATAAAACAAATAAAAGAAACTTTATAAACATTTTAAGTGCAGTTGGCGCGCACCGACGACAAAGGCAGGAATAGAGAAAATGGGTGCAATGAAACTAAAATCGCGCACACGGACAGACACACTTGCAAACGCACACAACTGCGACCGGAAGCGGGATAACAAAGCAAACCGGAACGCGGAAATACCGACTGCTGCGAGAAAATCTTGAATTGGCTGCCGCTCCGGTTGCTGCTGCTATTGATTCAGTAAGAAGTGTAAGTAAAATTGAAGAAACACAGCTAATTGCCTGTTGCCAAATGGAAAATGTTATTTGCAAATTACAAATGCTAAAAGCCAATTGAAAATTTACACGAATTGCCATCAAAATTTGCGCCACGAAATTTTCTGTTTGTCAAGCACAAACACAGGGAGAGTAAGAGGGAGAGAGAGAGAGAGACAGAGAGAGCGAGAGAGAGAGAGAGAGAGAGGGAGAGAGCGAGAGAGAGAGAGACAGAGAGAGAGAGAGAGGAATATTTTCAAATGTAAACTATGTGCTGCCTTATTATTTACCAAATGTCAAGGTTATTTAAATTGAAGGGGTATTAACAATGGGATGTTTACAATGAAGGAGTTGTGGACAAGGGTTTGAAATAGTTGGTGTCTCTCTGTAATGGGGTCAGTAATGATCCCAGCTTCCGGGTTCGGATGCCACAGCAGCTAAAGCGTTGCAGCTGCTAAAGAAATTAATCTGATCTCCGACCTTTGTAAAGCAAAGATCGCGTTCAAAGACATTGTTTGCAACGTATGGAAGGCCGACCACCTTGCGTGCTGCCTTGGGGTAAACAATTTACAACACCCAGTCTGAACTCACTTGACATTATGTAAACGCAGCGTTCTGCACTTGAAACTGTGCGCATTGACCTTTGCTTTCTTTCTTTTTCTCATGTCTGTCACTTAACCTTTAAGATATGGTTGGAAATTTTTATATATATTTACAACCCGTTCCAACATTTGGCCATCAAGTTTCCATACATCTCCCGTCCGCGGATAATTTAAAATTACTTCTACTATCTTGCAGTCCATATATCATTTTACATAATAGTCATTTAAAAAGGAAAAGTCCATCAAATTATGCTCGCATCCAAAAATTTAACTGTGATGTGGATCTTGCGAAAAATGTGAAGCACCTATGGAATAAATATGAACAAACATCTTTGCAATTCGAAAGAAGATTAACACACAAACGGTTAACGTGATTTTTCCGCACTTGCGGATGGAATTTCCAAAAACCCTTTTTAGCGTCCACTTCTGTCAGCAATCAGACAGCCACTCATTCAGTCAGGACTTACAATTTTATGTGCATATAAAAAAATATAGATTTATAGGTATTTTACCCACCACCCATGCAGGAGCTTGGGGAAGGAGCTTGTAAGGAACAAACTGCAAGTTGACCCATTTCGGCTGACAAATACATTCCGCATGTATCGAGCCTCTGGCGTTCAGTTACATGTTTTCTGGTTGAATAGCAACAGAAGTTGCAAATTTAATATTTAAATAACTATCTAGCAGTCGGAGTTCACTTTCAGCACCTTATCAATGCGGCAACGGCTGTGGCGATGTGTTAAATTGCCGCTTTCAGCGAAAACATCAATTGGCACAAACGCCAACCGTGGCCGCTACTAATGAAAGCCAAGGGCAGAACAGAGCAGAGCTGCGGCAGTAGCATTTTATCCACTTTACTCGCCATTTAACCGATGATTGGATCACAGCGGGCCCTCGATTGCTGGCCCCAAAAGGCACAATATGGAGCACCCAATGGGTAGCGAAAGGGCAGAAAAAATCCAAATGAAAGAGGAAAATGTAACTATCGAAACGCGTTTACTCTACAAATTTTTTTAAATAGAAGGCAAAACGTTTGTGAAAGTGGGTTATGTCTGTATATTTATATATATATATATATATATATATATATATATATATATTTTTTTTTTTTTTTTTTTTTAAATTCTGGAACTCAATGCAAATTTAGGCTGTTTTTAGAAACTGAAGATGTACACAGTAGGCAATACAATAAAATTATTTCTTAAATAATAGATATTTTTACAACAGCTGATATAACTTCCAAGAGACGTAAATTCCATTTTGTATATACCTTATTCAGTGAATCAATATTATTTAGGGTCAATTGATTGGATTACGTGAATTTTACTAGTTGAAGATAAGTTTTGTTTACGAAAGTCAAATTTCAGCATGCAAACCGTATGATAATCAAGTTATATACTTCTCAGTTAGGGCAAAGTATTGGCAAATGAGTGTGAAAAATCGCCATTAAAACCCGTACCTCTCTTATAGGGTGGCCGGGGTAACATATTCAATAGCTTTTCAAAAGCATGCTTAACAAACAGCAACAACAACAACGACGGCAAAGAGCAGGCGGCAAAAAAAAGCTCGAGCACCCATCATACACACACACGACACACACTTTAACACACGACACACACTCAGACATTTGCATGTCAAGTCGTCAGACGCTGTCCGTGTCCGTCGCCCGCGTGCATTAAAAACGACCATGAATAAATTTTAACAGCGCTTGTGTGTTAAAGTATTTAATGCTTAAAGGCTCAACTGAGCGACCAGCCGTGTGCCTTAAGCCCTGCCACATGCCACATGGCACACGCTTGGCGAGAGCACGGCAGTTACGCACATGTGACTCAAAGACATTCATGAAATGGATGAGCGCCTCTCAGCTAGAAGGTGTGCTCGTGTGTGTGTATGTGTGTGGGCAGCATTGTCAGCGAGACCCTTTTTGAGCCTTGCGCTCTCTCTCTCTCTCTCTCTCTCTGTCTCTCTCTCTATCGTTCTCGCTCCCAGTGATTAAGCAGATAATTGGATTCATTCCAGCGGAGAGCCGCTTACAAGCAGCATCAACACATGTAGAGCTTCTGCCGTGGTTTAGGGTTCTGGTTCGGGTTCTGGCAGCAAGCAGCTCGAAAACTTTGCTATTTGAGAATCTTTTAAAAGCTGCCGCAAGGATTTGTGGTGCTTAGCGTTAATTGCCTTGCGGTTGTCAACAGCTGAACTGCCCAAGAAAATAAAGATACGGAAAGGTAGAACGTGAGTGGAATACTCTAAAGAAATAACTTGATGTCTTCTCAAATCTGATGTCTAAATTCCTAATTATGTATTTAACTAACTCTAAAAATAGTTGCGAGTTGCAGACTAAGGCTGCATCAAAAAAAATCAGCCATATAAAAGTATTTTTATCTTTATTATATTTTGCTGACTTAAAAAAAAAAAAGATCAATCAACAAATAATCTTTATGCAAGGAATGGAAAGCAATCGATTATTCGAACAGATTACGTTTGCTTTCTCAATTGATCGATAAATCCATTTTGTCGATGTATAAAAAAGATTGTTTTTTTTATTATATAGGCATATTTGGATCTAATTGTAAAGGCATCATATTTTTCTATAAACTGAAACTTTATCACTTTGTCAGACTACAATCGACTTAAGTCCTAATCTCAAGTGGTCGCCTCTTTATATTCTTTCTAATTTATGGTACTCTCCCTCTCTCTTTCGCTCTGAATATGTGCTATGTGTCGTGCATTATGTGGTCAACCATGCTCCTTACCCAATGGTTTCCATCACACATCTCAGTCTTGATTTTTAGGCGGTTCAGCTGCTAATGGCCTGTGGCAGCTGTATGGATTTGTAAGGCTTAAATAAATAACTGATTGGGTAAAATATGAAGCGTCATTCAGAAGCTGTCTCTGTAGATAATCAGCTATAATAAATGCGAGTAGGTTGACTTATTTTATAATGCTGTCTGAATGCATCATAAATAATTCAATTTAGTTAATACAAAATCAATTTCTGTAAATTCGAATGAGCGCGCTCACTGCCCATATACCACAGATAAAAAATCATCATATTATCATAATAAACTGAGCTTGCTTTTCGACTGTGTAGATGTGTTGTGTATATATGTGTATTAACTATATATTTGTGTGTGAGTACATTATACAATAAACATCATCATTAAATATAATTGCATGTTACAGTTACACAGCGCGTTAAAAGCTGCTGCCAGTCGAACGGCATGCGGTTACACGGGACGGTAGATGGGAGGTTGAAGGAGTGGGAAAGTATGCTGCCTAAAACCGCGTTTGTTATGTGAACGCTCATTAAAATGTTTGCCGCGTTACGCATACGCATAGTTGGCCACGTCAGCCAAAGCCAAACGAAAGCCGTTTAACGGCCGGGCAGCTTCACTGAGAGGCACGCCCCTGCTGCCCCAAATCCGCTGTGGGATTTGACTTTATCGTCTCCAAGTGGGCGCCATTGTACGGCCCATGTTTGGCTTGTCATATTACATTGTTCTTGCTGTCACAAGAGATGCGAATTCTACATTGTTATATTTTGAATTACAAGGTATTTTTGTAACATTTTTTTTTTATTTTGTTGTTACATGATTTACTATTATTATGATTTAGTTATAATGGGACGATTTTAGTTGACAGTTAAACTATTTTATTTGTTTTTTTTTTGACACATTTTTGGGCATTGTTTAAATGCAGAGTGAGTTAATCTATTTTTATAACGCGTTGCGTAACCTGGCATTTGACGCCATTTAACTGTCGCTTACCTAAATCGGTTTCCACGGGTATTTTTGGATTCAGTTGGGTTTTTTAATATGCAATATGTAACGAAAGTTTGGGCCATAGCAAATTAGCAAATGCTTAAAAGTTATTTAAAAGATATTTTCTTTTTAAGGAAATTTACTTATATAGTTTCCCAATATTGGTGAGAATTCCGATGCAACATTCTAAGTAGATATATATAGATACCAAAAAAATGTTGTGTCTCAATGAACTCTCATACTCTCTAGCGCGTATTTATTCTGTCACCCCTCTATGTGATTTTTACTTAATAGCGTTAATAGCTGTTGATAATTTGTATACCCTGAACCCATTAAAAATGGGTAATAAGTAAGTATTATGTATTTGTGCAAATGTATGTAAAAGGCAGAAGCAAGCATCTTCGACCCCATAAAGTACATATATTCTTGATCAGCATGAACAGCCGAGTCGATCTAGCCATGTCAGTCTGTCTGGCGTCCGTCCGTTCGTCCGAATGTATGAACGCAAGGGTCTCAGAACCTAAAAAAACTGGAGAAATTTTAGCTGTAGGTCCTCCTAGTGCCCGCGCAGAATGAGTTTGTTTCCGACATTCAATAGCTTGCCCCGTTTCCAAGTAATCGATAAAATAATAAGAGCTAGAGTTACCAAACTTAATATGTAGCTTCTAGAATAGAATATATATATATATCTATATATATATATATATATATATTAAGTTTGGTAACTCTAGCTCTTATATTATATATATATATATATATATATATATATATATATATGAAGTATCTTTCATTTTATAGCTATCAACACCTCCACTCTACTACCTCATAGATATAAATAAAATAAATAACCCAATTTATACTGCCCTTTAATATAAGCCACAATTTAAATGCAATTGACCTTTTGAGAATGTAAAAATAATCTATAGCACAAGATCTACTGTATAAAATATCATCAAGATCAATTAACACACAGAAGTTATAAAAGAAAACGTGCTTTGGCTGGCAGCAAGCGCAAATTGCCAGAATTTCTATATACATGTACACATATACATTCATGCACGTCTTCTTTGAATTCTATCAACCACCATATTGAGATTGTATTGTTTTTTGTGCTGCTATTTAAATTTGTTTTTTTCGTAGATTTTCAGTTATTGGTGTGTCTGTTTAGTAGAGGTGACGGCTGGTAATGTGGTCTGCTGCAAGTTCGAACCCTACCGAGGAAACTTTTTTTTTTTTAAATTTATTTTTATTACTACTGAAGAGGGTTCAGAGTATTCCCTAGTAGGGAGCTCCCGACTAGAGCCTCTTATTTCTTTTGAATTAGTAATTGATTTGGGAACTTAAATATCTAGCTATCTTAACCGAATTTTTGAGTTTTCTCGCTCTGTATTTTATTTATGTCTCATTCCAAGCCAAAGCTAGAATTGTATATATTAAAGCTACCAGCTCATATTTAGACAGATTTGGAATTGGTTACTGGAACACATGCATATAAGTATCCAGAAAATGCTTTCATTTCATTCCACTTTGTTTACTTGCCCACGTACAGTCGTAGTATGACATTTCATTTCAAAAGCTGTAGTGCCTGTTATGAATATATGAACACCTTTGTATGTTATATGCACGTCTATGTGTAAATGGCATAGGTCGCCTCTGGCATTTTGCAGCCAGGGCCAAGAACACCATTAAGCATGGCTTGGACATGGAGAAAGAGTTGAGTTGTTATTGTCCAGAGACATACTGAATATTTCAAGAATTTCTTAATTGTTAAAACAAGCGAGCACGCACACACACACACACGGACACAGACCAGGGTCAGTTATTGTTGTTTTTGTTTTCGCTACTGTTGCCATTCTTGTGGGTCGTCATTTAATAATTCAAGTTTGTTGCTGTTGTTTTTGTAAGAAAACGTTTGCCGACTGTCTGTATGTAGTATGTGTGTTTGTGTGTATTTTATTTTTAAAAAACAATTTTCCAACAAACGACAATGCGAATGACGGCCAAGTTGGTCCAGGCCGCAGTTCGAGGCGAGGCTATCGTTTCCCTCTCCCAGTGGCAGTTCGACTAGAACACGGACTCAGCATGTGCCACAAAGTACCCAACAAAAAACAGAAAAATCAGAAGAAAAGCGAAACAGTAGATGAAGCATAAGCAACAGAACGCAACGCAAAAAATAACCGAAAAATATAATAAAAAGAAATTGGACAATAAAATACAACAATTTATGGCGTACAGCAATCCTTTTTGGTGGCACTTTACGGCGGACTGCGAACAGTCAAGGGGCAACGGACGGACTTGTGCACCAAAAGTCGCATACAGAGGCAAAATGAGTAAGAGAGAGGGACAGTGAGAAAGAGAGAAAGAGAGTGAGAGAGACGGACCAATGGACATGCCGGATAAGGCGGTAACATTGTTTGCGGCAAGTGGGCGTGGCAGCATAGCCAGCAAATCGTCATTGGAAACTAAACGAAAATGTTTAGTATTTGTGCTTTTATTTATTTTATTCTTTGTATTTTCCGTGATTTTTTTTTGTTTTTGCTTTATCCGGAGCGTTTTTTATTTTTATTTATTATTGCCAAGGTTTTACTGCCTTTCGCACGCTCTATTTATTTATGTGTTTGTCAGCGTTGGAAAGCGACTTCAGCAACGATATTGAATTAAAACTGAAGAACGCACAATGCTTTTGTAAAATATTAAAATGATATATGAGCTCTATTAAATAATCGAGATTTGAACATATCGCTTTTAATAAACTAGATACACTGGGCAATAAATTCATACATAACACATACATTTTTTTGGATTGATTTATGAAAATAATGCTTAGTTAATAGTAGTATAAAATAATTCAAATATAGGGTCAATCAAGCAAAAAATGAAAGAAAAAATGTAAACAAAATGTTGCAAAATTTATTTAGGCAAGCTGCAATTGAAATTAAATATATTTAATTGAAATATTCACAATGATAAATTTTTATTAATACTCATGTATTTTTTATACCCTGAAGCCATTAAAAATGGGTATAAGGGTATATTGTATTTGTGCAAAATCCAAATGTATGTAACAGGCAGAAGGAAGCATCTCCGACCACATAAGGTATATATATTCTTGATCAGCATCAATAGCCGAGTCGATCTAGCCATGTCCGTCTGTCTGTATGTCCGTCTATCCGACCGTCCGACCGTCCGTCCGTATGTATGAACGCAAGGATCTCAGAACCTATAAGAGCTAGAGACATGAAATTTTAGATGAAGGTGCTCCTAGTGCCCGCGCAGATCGAGTTTGTTTCCGATAATCGATAACTTACTCCGTTTCCAAGCAATGGATAAAAATCGATATCGATATCCTGTTTTTTTGGGCCATTGTGGTAAATAATAGGAGCTAGAGTCACCAAACTTGACATATGGCTTCGAAAATAGAATACATATATGCATTTGATGTTAGAAGAAGAGGATTCAAGGTATCCCCTAAATGGGAGCTCCCGACTAGAACCTCTTACTTGTTACTTATTGAAAAAGTATATGCGTAATTATTTTTTTAATATTTAATACTTATATGATTTTTATTTATATTTATATATAACTTCAACGCTTGTTCACGTTTGACAATAGGTACCCATGTCCAACATTTATAGTTTCCTTTATTTTGGTAAGCTTTGCGCATATTTCATGGCGTATTTTGCGTTAGTTTTGCTTCGATTTTGTTGTGCTTTTTATTGCTCTTTGGGCTAACTGATGGCCTGCGCAGAGTGCTGGCAACAACTTTTGTTAAACATTTGTTGCCAAAGCCCGTTTAATTTCGACTGCCAGCAAAATGATTTAGGAAAGACGCACGTTTCGGGTAGCCAACTGCTGTTGCCAAGGACATTGCCGCTGTTGAAACTTTATTTCATTTAATTGAAATTTTATGTAAAACATGCATTTTGTTAGATGCAGTTTTTTGTATTTTGGTTTTGAGTTTTTATTTTAATATAGCTCGCGACAGCATAGAGAAATGTAAAATGAATAATATATTGCAAATTTGTATAAGCATTTGAATTATATGCCGATGGGGCTAACTGGGAAGCAATGGTAGCACAACTTAACCTTTGCCAAAATGAGATAAATCTCATGATTTTTCAATGTTTGAACTTTTGGCCACATTGCATACACACATAAATTACAAGGCCAGGGGGCTGCGGGCGATAGCAGACGCTTTTTTATTGCAACCGAAACTCTACCGGACTTTTATCTTTAGCTGGGCGAATAAAATGAAATGAAATAAAATGTTGGGTTTTTACCAAAATGCACGCAGATAAGCACAACGTTGTTGCTGGATCGATATGTGTTTATACCCTTCATTTCAAAGCTGGAAGGGTATACGCACTGAATGGCTGCATGAGCAGGCTGTAAAATGAAAAAGAAAAATCTGTTATACGAAATAATTTTTAAGTTACGAACAGGGTATCCGTTAGCCAAACAATCATGCAAGCTGTTATTTTTGCATTGTTTTTAACAAATTGACAGACAAACTCCGTGCATATATCTCAGCTAACAGGATGAGACAGCCCGACAGACCGACGGAAAGTAAGAGCGCCAGCTGCAGGATGTGGATGTGTGACTGAAGTGTTTGTTGAGTGTGTGTTTCGAGTGCAATCAGCACAATAACAACAACAACAACAACAGCAACAACTATATATATACATCAGCAATAACAAGAGAAAAAACAACACTATGGCCAAGGACTTGAAGTTCCAGGAAGTGTTTCAGCGTTGATGGCTGTTGAAAAGTCTTCCTCCGGCAGACAACAGCAAGTGCACTTCCAAAAGTGAAATCCATGTTAGAAGAGTTATTGGCGGCAGTCAGGGTATGCAGATAAGCTGTTAGTTATCAGAAGGTGTCTAAACACAAGCATTCGCATTGCCAGGAATCTCTCAAGGTATTTTTAAGCCAAAAGATTGCCCACAGGCATTTTGGATTAGACAAATTGAAAGCTATTTTTGGGTTCGTAAATGATGTTTACTTACATTTCTCTAATACTCGCAGAAATTTCCATTTATGTATTAATATTTATATCTTTTTATTCAGTTTCCATTTTCTTCTGTCCACTTATGACATTTATTCATAGTTCACACTTAAGAATTTTCAATTTGGTTATTATCCACAACATTTTATGTTAATTTTATTTTATGTCTTACACATAATCATATAATGTTTTTGCAATTTATTCATACAAATATTTACAAGGGTAATATGCTGTTCACTCAGGCAAAACCATTTTGGCGTCTGTTGAGCTCAGCTACATACATATATATATATATATATATATATATATATATATATAAATTTGGTTTATTGGAATTTACTATAGGAGTACAGTAAGGTTAATTAATGTTATCATTATCATTATTTTTATAAATTAATCAATAAATGTATTTTGTTTATGTGGCAAATTTTACAACTGTCTTCAGCCTCTGCTGCTAGTCAGTAGAAATTGTTTAAATATTTGTTTATAAGTAGGTAAATGTTTGCTCTCCGTAGTTGTGTTGTGTTATCCTGTAAATCTTTTTTTAGCTATTAAATAATCATAGTTATTATAATATATATAATTAAATTTTCGATCACATGTGTTTTTTGTTTTGTTCTAACTTTACTTTGTTTCACCCCGTTTAAACTTTAAATATGTTTTGGTATTTTTGTTTTACAAAAGAAATGCTATTGTTTGTTTTAGTTTATGGTTTATTGGGTGGCCAGCACGGTACAACCCCAACCTTAGCCAAACAAACAACTGCAGCTTTGTTCTCATTTCAGTTGAAAATTGTTTGTAAAATTATATTTGTTGTAATCAATCATTTAAAAAAAATATGTACCATTTTTTTTTTTTGTATATATTTTATTATTTGTGAAATATGCTTCGTTCTTTTTATGGTTCTGATAAACATGTATTGTTTTGCAATTCTTTTATTTAATCTGCTTTTGTTCAATGTCATCTCTTGGTATTTGATTCATCATCTATTTATTTTGTATATTTTTCAATGGATTTATGAACTTATTTGCAATGTTTTTGGCGGGTTGACTTTTATTTGGATTTCATAATTACACAATACTTAGTTCCCATTATTTGAATAACGATTAAATATTATGGTTGAACCACTCAAAATTATTAAACGCTGCGAAACGGGCGTGTATGGAATTCGTTCGCATAGTTATGTGTGTTAGTGTGCGCGGGGATGCACCTGACTAATTAATTTTTTAATTTTAATTAACTCATTAAAAGTACAATTTTTACCACTTCGCTTAAGTTCATAACCAAATTAAAATGTAATCAAATAACGCTTTGTATTAATTTGAATTGTTATTTAATAGACTAATGGCCACTGATGGACGCAGCTTTTCATTTGTGCTTAACAACTGCAGTCATTACATTACCAAGCTGTAGCGAAATTTCGGCGAAATATGTAATACGATGAAATCATTTGAAATAAAAAAAAAAAACTAAAAAAAAATGTTTATGCATTGTTTTCAGTTTCTTTATAACAAAAAAGTTCAATGTTCTTTGTAATTTGCCACATATGTATATGTATACAGCTTCCATAGGCGTATTTAAATTGTTATTTAATTTTTATATAATAACTTTTTCATAGAAAAAATACACAATGAAAATTAGTTTATGCTCTTCGCCTGAAACAGGACATTTTAAGACGATCTTTTTATTTGTTTTTATTTTTATTAAAGTGTTTTCACTTTTCCTATTCTTTGCTTATTTAGCCAGCTTTTGTCTTCCCTTTTATTGTTTTTTTTTTTTTTTTGTGTTTTTGTGCGTTTGCCTTACGCTTGTTTTCTCGCTTTTGTCTGGGTCTTATCTACTTTTTTTGTTGCTTACTCTTTGCGGATCCTTGCCTTACTAAGTGCTAAAGATGAAAATAAACATGACAATGATATTTATACAATGTTGGCTAAGCTATGGTAACCTTAGTGTTGAAGTGGTTGCCAGGACGAGAAGGGCGGAAAGGATATAGTGGGTGGGCATATGTGTGCGTTAGTGTGTGTATGTGAAGTATGGCCGCCGCTATGCCACTTTGTATTTGTTTATGTGCACGGCCAGCTGCGCACAATGTTGCCAGGCAGCAGCTGCCGCTTGGAGTCTGAGCGATTGAAAGTATATGTGTGTGGGTGTAAGTAAACAAGTGTGCGTATGTGTGTGTGTGTGTTTGTGTGTTTGTGTGTGTGTGTGTGTGTGTGTGTATGTGTGATACACATACTTCAACACACATGCACTATAAAAACAAATGCTCGCATGTAACGACGAAAAAACTTTGTCAATTAACCTAAAACAAGTTTCACTTTACAACACGTACGCTTGACATAATTTCTTCTCTCTCTTCTCTGGCTCCTGGCATTGATGTGGGTATATGTGTGTGTGTTTGTGTGTGTGTGTGTATTTGTGCATGCAAAAACTTTACATATAAAGAAATTATCACGTTCTTGGTCCTTGATACCGACAGTAGGATCTGCCCATAATGTCCTCAGCTGGAATTGACTGATCAATCGGTTGCACTCGCAATAATTCCATTTGATCACGCACCTAAAATGAAAACCAAATAAAAACAAATCTTAAATACATCTCAACTAAAACTTCGGTGCCATGCGGCGTATGCGCAATATAAATGTAGTTTGATTAGGTTTGCCAACAGCTGCGCCCAAAAACTAATAAAAGTGTATGGCATATGCCAACAACTTTTGTGTATTCAATTGGCACATCTTAAGTTTTCAGCTGTGCAAAGCAAATGGCGAAAGTTTTTGCTTACTATTCAAATTGAAGTTCAATTTCTGTTGACTCTTAGAAGCATTTTGCGTTATTAATTACTTAAATGTTGAGTATATTACTGGCATAATAGATATTGAATTGAATGTGCCGCATACTGAAAATGGACTTAAAACTAATTGAAATATATTGTCTAAAAAAAATATATAAAATATATGAATTGAGCTCAAACTTTAAATTGCTTGATTTGGTAATGTTGCTTGTCATCACAATCCTTTTATATACAATTGTATTGCTCAATTAATTCGTATGAGAGAGTTATTATTGATAAAGAATGTAATCAGTGTTCATAAAACTGTAATACTTATTTTAAAGCAATACCATACTTATTCGAAAATGTACTGAAAGTTATATCTTAAATTTTAAGCAGAAAATATTTTACGGATAAGACAAGGTATCCGTAAAATATTTTCTGCTTAAAATTTCGGATAAGACCGAGTTATCCGCAAAATATTTTCTGCTTAAAATTTCAGATAAGACAGGGTTATCCGTAAATTATTTTCTGCTTAAAATTTCAGATATAAACTTTTTCAGCCAGTTCCTGTTCGTGGAAAATTAAAATTTTCCTGGGATATCTTGAACTTTTATTTAAAAATATCTGTTAGCGTCATCTAATAAAAACTAAAAATATGGAATTATTTTTTCCCGCCCATGTTAGTCTATTGGTGTCAATCTTGAAACCGACAAATAAGCTTTCGATCAACGCATTTTCCACCCATGAAGGGCGGCTTATTCGAAAGGCATGAAACACGTCTCAGTTTATTTTTTACAAACATATTTAAAAATGATTTTCAACCCGAACGGTTCGTGATTAAATAACTTTTCTCAACCTTACCAATGTTGCGGGTGGAATTTTCATAATCTCAGAGGCATGTGCCTTAAAAATAAGTTTGAAGCCAGTCGAACAAAACATAAAACTTCGACCTCAAATGGTTTTTCATAAAGATCTTTGGCAATGAATTTCAACTCGAAACTCCACCCATCAACTCTTTTACTGCTATTTCCGTTAAACAGACCTTAAATTAATTCGAGCAAAGATCTTTGAAGAGAAGGTATTAGCGTGCGCCTCCATCACATAAGGTAGCTACAGTAGTATTTCTTAATTTATTTTTTAAACAGATATTTTAAAAGTGCCAAATCGACCTTCCATCACAGGAAATATATTTCTTTAAAATTTCAGCAAACTTTGCTGTTTTCCGTGCCTGTCTTTTAATAGTTTTAATAGCTCTAAATAAGCTTTAATTGTTTTGATTACTCTTTAAAGAAGTTAACAATTTTTTTTTTACCTAAAAATGTTTTTAAACATTTTCGAATGGCGTAAAAATAACTGTTACTTTAGGCTATAGTAACAACTTTGCAAATGATGTCAAAAAATTCGTAAAGAAAATAAAGGAATTTAATTTGTTTGGTAACTTAAGCTGGGCTACTTGGACAAGCGGCCTACAGAAATCTGTTTAGTAAGAAAAATTCTCATCGTTATACAGATTCCAGCCACTTATAAAGTAATCATATTCCCATTAAATTATTTAGTCTTACAAAGCCATTTACAGGCCGTATTGGCAACGCATTACAACGAGTCCTTAAAGGACTTCTAAGCCCACAGAGAAGCTCGTTCTAGCCTTTTGCGTATTGTTTGGCCAACTTAGTGTGTGCTTTGCAGAAAGTTTGAGGCCCATTTTATGCCGCGCAAAAAACAGACGAAACGGGAGCCACAATAAAACAAAATATATGCAAAAACAAAAACAGAAAAAAGGCAAAAATAAAAATAAAATAAAATAAAACATAACAAAAAATGTTTTGTTTTCAACACCAAACACCTTTTGAGGCCGCACAGCTGCGTCAGAGCGGGGACAGAACAGAGGGCGAAGAAAAGGCAGACGCAGTTAAAGAAGGGCAGCAGCCAGCAAGGATAGGATGGGAGGGACAGGCAGAGGCAGCCCGCTCAGCCCATTTCCGGTGCTTTGTTTGCCGTATAACAATCGAATTTACGACTTTTTATGAGGCTTTATGTGCGCGCTGCTTGCCATATACAAACAACAATAAAACGTCAGCTTTGGCTCAGACTGTGAGCCGCAGTCATTGCACTTTGGCCACGCCCACTCCGCCCATTACCCCATAAGTTCTTTGTGGGATTTGCCTTTGGCTACGCTTTTCCGGCCGCTTTGAGTTGCATAAATGAAAAGCACATTTCACTGTTACATTTGAGTAAAAAGTTCAAAGCGAAAATGGCTGTTAAAGAGCCGCTGCGCCATTTTAATGCTAACCAAATCAATTGTAAGAAGGTCAGTTCGCGCACACACACACCCACCCATACACACACACACTCACACACATACACATACATCGATAGAGGCTGAGTACAGACACAGGCCGGCTAAAGGATATTTAAATGAATTTGTCTCGCACAAATTGCTGCCATTTGCCGAGGACTTTTGCCCAATGCCGCCACTTGGGCTATGTGTCGTGCCAAATGCCTTTCCATGCTCGCATTAGATACTCTCATAAAAGGCTAAAATAAAAGATACATTTGCACAAACACAAGCAACGACCTCAGCAGAGCCTCAGCTGCCTTGACTGCCTCTGCTTTTGTCTAGATAAAAACTGGCGTCAAGAAAATTATCATGTTCATGGCTATGGCTGCTGGGCCTGTAGCACCATCAAAAGGCCACCCAGACCTCACCCATGCACCCCACACGCCACACCCCTTCATCCGCATACCCAGCCATTCATTTGTGGTTGTTGTTGGGTCGCATTGAAAAGGCGCCACAGCATGAACTGAACTGAAGCATTCCCACGAACTGCCTCAAATCTCTATTGCCCTAATTTCGCTTATTTTTATCACTTCGACACACTTATGGGTTAATGGTAGCTAGTGGGCGTTATATAAAATTTAAAGTACTTCAAGCAAAGTTTGCTTTAAATTAATAAAATAACTAATATAACAGTAATAATTACAAGCATCAAATGATTAATTGTAATAATAATATTTATTATAATAATATATTTATATTAAAACCCCAAAAAATATATGAAACCCGTAGAATTTAAGCTGATTTATTTAATTGGAACACATAACAAGGACTTCAAGTCGCAAGCATAATAAGTCCTCGTGCGTGTCTGGCATGAAAGGGTATAAAATAGGCATCAGTATGCGTGTGAGTGTTTGCATAAGAGATGACAATCATTAAAATGGCCTTTTGCCTAATTTCTAGGACTTGCTTAATTATCACAACGATGCCAACGCCCACTCCAAACACCAACACCCATGCCCACACATATACACATAAACATATACGAATACAAACACAAATAGAAGCACAGACACAGACGAGAGACACGACAAGGGTCCCTGTTGACCTACTGGGCCAAGGCTTGGGTTTTGCGCCCTCTCCAGGGAAAGAGCATTAAGCGTCTAATAATTGAACATTTGAACAGGTTCTTGTGTTCATTTAATTGCATTACAGGAGACGGTGACTGCCATAATATACATTTTATTGCAAATTCGGGTCACCAAACGCGATAAATGGGCCTTGCATAAGAGTTGTGCGCTGATTTTTTTTATCAAGCTTTCACGCGGCGTTGGAACCAAAAGTATAAAATAGTACTCAAATAAAAAAGAGCACTGGGCAAAATTTTTTAATTACTTTGTGGCAGAGTGAACAAAAATGGCAACAAACAGCAAAGTATAACAATGCGAGCACAATTCTTAATGAGCATTATGCCATATAATAAACACTAAAGGCTGTAATATATATTTATATTTACTATAAACTGCCTTTCATGCGAACATATACATATAAATATCTATATTCATTTTTTATTGCTCCTGAGTGCAAAATGCAATAAAAGCGCAACGATTTTAATCACCAGCTTTGCAAGAGTCGGCAACACTTTTTGCCGTGCCCATGCGGCTCCCTTCGCATACACATTACTAAGTAAGTATGTACATGGCAGTGCTCATTGTAATCACATAGAGGAGCCATTGTCGTAATGTAGTTTATTTTTTGCTCAGTGCACATAGAAAAGAAGCGCAGAACCAAAACTAATTACAATGTTGCAGGCAGATAAGGCGTCAGCCTCGCCACTCAGAGTAAGAGTAAGAGTCAAAGTCGGGGACTGAGTCAGAGTCAGCGTCAGCGTCAGCGTCAGAGAACCAGAGAATAGGAATATGATTAAAGTTTGCAGACGCAGAGATAAGCGCAAAATTAAAAAAATGCTGCGGCATCTCTTTTTCGTGAGGCGCAGCTTATGGGGGTTTTTATAATGAGCAATAGCAATAAAATGAGCGCCTCACGAGCAAAGTTCAAAGTGGGGGCGGGACGTATGATTTATTATTATTTGGTATTAAATCTTTAAATGACCAGACTCATCCAGCTACCAACTCGACTCGGACATTTTAAATTAGTTTTCAAACAATAGCAATTTTCCAAGCTTAGAAAATGCAGTGTCTTTGAGAAGAGAGGTCCCAAATAAAATATTAGTTTCAAATTTCATTTTATGAGAACGTTAAATAATCAATTCAACATGTAAATATATTCGTTTTAGATTTCATATTTTAAATTTTAGTTGCGATTTAATAAAACTATGGACAAAATTTGTCAACGCATGTGGCTTTAAATTTGGCAGACTTATCTGTTAATAACGATCCAAAAACCTTCTGCTGTTGCTCAAAAAATTAACAATACAGAGCAAAAACTTTTGCCAGATGAATATGTAACAATTAAGGATGGCAAAATCAAGCAGTTCCCCCTTTCAAAAAACAAAAAAAAAAAAATAAAAATACTGTGTAAGCCGTTTGTGGATGAACAAAATTCCTTTGCCACAGTTACCAAACAGTTTGAGCCTAAATGTTTGCTCAGGCAGTCATTCAACTGCAAAGCAAACTCTCTTCGAATACTTGGCTGAATGGTGCTAAGCATTGAGTGGCATTCGTAGTCGATGGAGTGACCTGCTCAAAGGACTCGCACACAGTGACTGACAATCCAACATTTAAGCAAGGCGTATTGAATTAAATTGAATTGAAGTAACAGCAACAGAGCTGCCAAAGGAACAAATAGAAGCTGCAAGCAAGCCGATCCTAGCCAGCTAAGCATACAGCAAACATGCTGACCACATCCGCAAACAAACTGCAGCAGCTTTTACTGCTGGCTGCTGACTGCTGCCTGCTGACTGCTGTCTGCTGACTGCTGGTCATGCTCATGTATAAATATCGGAATAACCATTTGAAAATCCTTTTAAAATTATTTCACAACTTGCGTCTTTTCGACGCCAGAGTCGCCCCAATCATAGTTCCGCTCCGTTCTTGGCCCGTTTGCTATACGCACCAAGAATGTGCAAATTCCATTGCAAAGCCACATTATTCTCTTTATCCTTTGAAAGGAATTTTCCATGTGCAATAACAAGCAAGCTAGAGAATGCAGACGGCAGCAGCTACAGCTACAACTTCAGCTTCTTACTGTTTTTTTTGTGAAGCTGCTCAACAGTGGCTCAACTTGGGACACGTTTTTTGTTGGCCGAGAATTGTGCTTTTGTCTAGAGCTCTGACTAAGCCTTAATCCGCAAGGTAATACACAACTAGTCGAAGCCATCCAGAAAATGCAGTACACAGTGAACAATGGAATGCGAATGGCCAAACATGTTTTTTTCTAGCATATTTTTTTTTTTTTTGGCTTCTCCACTCACCGCTTCCACTTCCTTGAAAACGCGTATGAGATTTCGTCCAGCCAGCTTCGCTATATCCCCCTCCGACCATTTATCCGACTCGAGCAGGGTTGCAAAGAGATGCGGATATTTGGAAACATCCTCCAAGCCTTTGGGCACGCTGTCAAAATATCATACAAACAAAAAATACCGTATAAATAGCAAGGAAATACCAAAATCATACGCGGAATATAGCAAAACATAACAACAACCAACAAAATTCCTTTGTTAACTTACAGATTGACGCCATCGTAGCCAGCCCCAATGCCCACATGGTCTATACCAGCCACCTCGCGTATGTGGTTTATATGCGCTGCGAAGTGGACAGTACAAAATAGGTTAAATCCATAGTTAATTTTCTTCTAAGTCGGCAAACCTACCAACAACATCGTGCAGTGTCGCCTGCCCCGAGCAGCTGACAAAGTGCGGATAGAATGCAACCATAACCAAGCCGCCGTTAATGGCCTGTAAAGTAAGAGAGCCCCATTAGATTAGGGTCCAGTATTTAATTGGCTTTCACTTGCAGCCTGTTTATTACGTACAATGCGCTGCAATACATGATCCGGTACATTGCGGGAACTATTACATATGGCATGCGCCGAGGAGTGCGAGAATATGAGCGGCGCTCGGGATGTGGCCAATGCATCCAACATTGTTGGCACCGACACGTGCGACAGATCAACAATCATGCCCAAGCGATTCATTTCCTTCACCACAAGCTGTCAAAGGAATTCGATATAGTTGAAAAATCAATAAGAATATTTCATTATTACGAATTAAGCATTCCACCCTTTAAGGTTAAGAGTATTAAATATTAAGAATAATTTGACCTGCGCAACGTCGAGTTATTCCCGCTCTTTCTAAATATGTATGTGTGAATGTTAATTTGTATTTATGTCTGTCGATTCTTATATTCGAATGCGCTGCATATGTATGTATTTTAAAATATTGCCCCTCTATGTGAGTCTCATAAATTTAAGTAATATAGATTTTAAAATGTATGTTGTCATACTCTTGCTCTAATTTACATTACTATACATCTTTCTTTCTCTCCTTCACTCCACCTCTCGCTTCCCTCTCTCTCTCTCTCTTTCTTTCTCCCTCTCTCTCCCTCTTTCTCTGTCTCTCTCTCTCTATTTTCTTATCTATTAGGTCATACATATGATAATTACCTTGCCAAACTGGGAGAGGCCACCTATGTGTGGATATTTGCCTGGCTCGTCAACTTTGCAGCAGTCCGCCCTGTAAACGTTGGTCAATTAATAATCTGCCAAACTAATGGCTGTAGACGCTTGACTTACCAAGGTGTGTTGCAGGTGTGAGTGAGTGTAAGATATCGGGCGCCCAGTTGATAAAACATGCGCAGAACGCTCAGACTGGTGCCGATCGCATGGCCACCCTCGACGCCAATCAGGCTGGCTATTTTGCCCGTGCGATGGGTTTGCTCGATGCCCGCAGCGCTGGTGACCAGTGCCATGTGATGCGGATAGAGCAGTACCAGGCGCCGTATCAAATCGATCTGTTCCAGCGTTAGCTGCACTGCATCCAGATGTTGTGAGGAGCAGGGCGCGTAGGCGGACCAGAACTGTGCAGAGACCATGCCCTCTTTGAGACGACGCAGATCCGTATGGCTCCAGGCGCTCGAAGACCAGGGCGCCAGTTCGCGCAAATCGCTGCCAAAGTGAAAGTCCTTCAGCTGATTCTTGAGGAACTTGCGAATATTCCAGGGCAAGTCGTTGTGGCCGTCGATCAGCGGCACCTCCTTCAGCACGTTCCGCACACGCTGCATGCGATAGTCGAAGTCCGCGTCGCCGCTGCCGCTGCCGCTGCCGCTGTTGCTCCCACTGCCTGTGCCAATAGCCGTGCATCTTAGGATGGGCAGCATCAGCGGTAAATAGACAAGGGTCAAACAGTTGAGGCCACAAACCTTGGGCAGCTTCCTTGATTTCATTGCCCCCAGGAGCAGCTAGCAGCACAGCAAAAGCCACGCAGCACTCACATTGATGATGTTTGTCACTCGAACTGTGGGCGAAAACAAAATAAAAATATACATAAAGTTGAAGTAGAAATAGAAATCCGGTGTGGAGCACGCTTACAGCAAGAATATTGCATGTGATTACTATTTGTTTAGCTGCGCCGATGGCGTGATTGAGCTATTGAAACTTGTTGGCAAACAAATGCCATAAATATAACGCCCGCGGACTCTTTGGTTCTCGGCTCTAGCCACGACTTAGTCCTGGCCGCAAACATAAATAAAACTTTTCATATTTATTTCCGAGCCAACTTCGATATCGAGCCCGCGCACCAAATGCATAAAAATGCACAATAAAAATGCAAAAATTATTTATAGCAAACTTTTTGCGAGCGGATCAAAAAAAAAAAAAATATATAATAAAAATAAAAAAGGCCAACACCAAATTTAAATAGTTTCCACAGTGGGGCAAAAGTTTCCAAAGCGACACCAACCGTGAGTGCTAGAGTGAGACAGCGTAAATTCTTGCCAAATATTTGGGCGTGTGCGGCAAAAGGGGGCTGCTCTTTTTCACGACTCTAGTGGGATGACATAAAGTTTTTCCTGAACTGCAGGTGGGCGGGTAGCAAAGCAGTATATGTTGAAAGGAAATTGAAGCCAGCTTTGAGTTGGGCGCTGCGAGCAGCATATGAGAAAGCCACAGTTGCCGACAGATGCCGAGGGTATTGACCGGCAGGCACTAACCCAGTGCCCACTCTCCACCTCTCACTAACACTGAGATTTATTTTTTATTTTTCTTCGTTTGCGGCATTTCGTTTTCACAATTTTCTTTACGAAACTCAAATTAAAGTTTTGGGCCAACAGCAAAACTCAACTCAACTATACTAAACTTCTCTAATAGTTTTTAATGCATAAGTCTGCTTCATATAAAACAAGATGGCAAGATAATAAAATGCCAACTTAAGTATTGCGTAGATAATAATGTTTATGTGCGGCAAGTTGACGAAAACTGATTTTGAGAGTGAATTTCTTTGAAGAATCTGTCGAGAACCAACATAGAACAAGTATTACACTTAAGGGCAGCTTTTCAGGCAGCTAATGCTTATTATTTATTTTATTTTTAATATACCAACGTCATCAAGTAAAATAGAATAGAAATAGAATTTAGCCTATTTTATGCATATTTTTATAGTTTTACGTTTGTTTCCCAATCGGAATGATTAATTTCAAGTTATATTATAAAGCCATAATTATTAATATAATTAATCAATGTAAAACTCAAAAGCTATTTTTATGGCCTGAGTTTTATAACATACCATTTGGTTATACAATATTTTATTTATCATAACTTTGTATGCAAATTATTTTTTAAGCAATTAAAAATATATTTATATGGTTTTAATATTATAATGCCTAATTCATTAATTGATTCAATTACCCAAAGATACTCTATATCGTATATCACATATGTCTTATTATATAAACTTAAGAACCTAGCAAAAATATTCACAGTACTGACCAAACAAAGCTCTCCCATCATCATAAATCATCTGGCTTATTATATTAAGATTTAATTAGTGCAATAATTTTAATCATTTTTTTTAAAATAGTATTATTCGCGCGTTGCCCATTCCAATGTGCAGCACATTCCACATCCCACCTCCCGCCCAACCGACCGAATTGCGCATTCGTGTAACACACGCCCCGAATTGCGAAGTACAAAAGTGAATAAAACTTGGACTATAGGCTATCTATCTACTATCGACTATCTATTTTCTACTTGCTAAATAGTTAAGAATAGACGACTTTATACGAGGAAGAGAAGACTCCTTGTTCATGCAAGGCATAGTTAGTTGTACAAAATAGAACCGATAAGGGTGTATAATAATGTGTTAGTAGGGACAGAAAAGTTTAGTTGTCTAATAAACGTAGTTAACTTTTGAATAAATATTTCGCAAATAAGATCAACATAAAATTGAGAAATTCTAGAAATTTGTTCTTCTAAATAGTATCAAAATTGTCGGAAAAGTTAATAGTTGTCTGAAAAAAAAACTTGAAAAAGATTTCTGAAATGAAAAAATATTGTTTTTTTAATAGATCCCCATTAAAAACTATAATTTAGAGAACATGTTTTGGTTTATTTATTTGATATTATTTATAATATACACTACTATATACTTTACAAAGACGTTTGAACAGCTTGAAAACTAAATGTACAAAAATTTGAGAAATATATTATGAAAACATTTATTTATGATTATACATTTATATTTATACAATTTTTAAAGTTCTATAAAGCTCAGGGTTTATATTCAAACATCAAACCGATTGTAAGCATCAGAGAGATACAATTTTTTGCTTTCATTCACGAGCTTTTTACACAACTTGCTTTTAAATAAAATAAACATACATTTATATGTTAACATGCTAGCACTGATATATTTGCTTAACTGAATAACAGAAGACAACATAGATTTATAGATGCATTCGACCAGAGTTTAACTATAAATCAAACAAAATTCTTTTTGATACATGTCCATAATTGATTTTATGTTTAAAAATGCTTGCCATCGATATATTTCCAATTAAAAACAATCACGTATCATTCCAAATGAGCATGCAGTTCGCTTTGTGACAATTGTTATTTTATACAGCAAATGGGAACTTGTCTTCGGAAAATGCAATTTTCATTCAGCTCATTAGTCCAATTGTGATGGCAGTTCTAACTGTAAACATGTTGTCTAAATGATTTGCAGTTTTCTACGGCATTCAGAGGAAGAAAATTCGTATTTTTTTGTGCTTGTCTATTTGCAAGACTTGCCATTTGAAATAGTTTCTGTTCTTCATTTTTTTATTTTTTATTTATATTTGTTTTGTGGAATTCACCATTTTTTCATTTGCACATACTTCATATGGCGTCTGTGGGTGTGCATTTTGTAGAGCATACAAACAGGCGAAAAGCATGCAGCATGTTGTGCAGGGAAGTGGAAGAGGGAGTAAGGCCATGGACGAGTGATGGGAGGCATGAATTCGTATGTTGATTTTCATGGTCTGCTGCTTGGGCACAAAATGAAAACATTTCACTCTACGAACTTTTACGAGGATATCTTATCCGGCCGCTATCTGCCTCTCTGTCTTTCTCTCGATCTCTTCCTCTGTCTTTTGCTCTATTCCTTGTGCCATTTTTAAGGCCAACAATCTTTAACATTTTGCCTTATCAGAAATTATGCAAAATTGACAATGTCAATAAGGACGACAGAAACAAGGAGAACACGCAGCGAATTTCTCGTCATGCGAAACGTGACACAGGCGCAACGCACGAATTGTTAATACAACAACAACTACAACAATTAATGACACGCCAAAGGACCCAAATGAGCGCCGATTGGGTTAACAACAACAACAACAACGAGTTGCCAACAAACAACAAACGGCTGCAAAATCGAAAATGTCCGACGGTTTGTTAAACATTTATGCCACTGACGGCAACTGAAGGGCCCAATGTTTGATCTTTGATTTAATTGCCATACGATACATTTCATTGTTAAGCAAGGCACAAAAGGAATCACAAAGTAATGCATTAGGGTTCTACAAAACAACAGAGTACAAATAAATCGAGTTGAGCTAATATGCCTTGAATTACACTCATCTCATACTCATCCACATCTAAATACCTTTTTGCAAATTATGCCCAATTTTGTCAGCTTAAGAAATGTAACTCTCAGATAATTTAATATAAAAAAAATTACTTTAATATTAAAGAAAAACATTCAACAGTCCCAATTTTCATTTTGTTTTGAGTGCTGCATCGAATAACACATGCTAACACAAATATTTTATAACCTAGTCTAGTAAACATCCAGAAAGCCTGTTGTTATGTCTAAGGTTAAATACCCTTGCAGATCCTATAAATTAATGTGTGTTTTGAAATAAAACTTTAAAAAAAGATTATTATTTGTTTTGTCTTAGTTTCCTTACAGCAAAAATATTCAAATACCAGAAATTAAATGCAGATTCAAATTTAAATATTTTTAAAAATACAAAAATTTGTATACCAAAACTTACTTTTCCTCTTAGTATCAAATGCTTATAGGTATAGTATAGAAAGCAACGAAGTCTGATTTGTTTCTATAGTCAGCTATATAATAGAGTGATGTGAGATACAGATACAGAATCACAAACAAGATACTGAATCATGTTTGCTGATCAAATTATAATACTCCTCGTTAGGGTATTTCCAGAAAATATTTTGTTGTTCACCCAAAATGTAATAAATTGCAATATTTACAAGTCGTTTGTGGGAATTGAAGAGTATTTACTTCGGAGAATATACTCGTATGCGAGCAGAGCACAAATTTTGGTAGGTTGTCAGTTGGCACACACAAAGACACGCCACTCACGCACACACACGCACACACACGCACACAGATGCAAATACGCTCGCTGGGAGCCAGACAAAATGGGCGCAAGGATAACTGCGTACAACATTGCGTATGCGCGTTGCCACTGCAAATGCGAATGCGAATGGAAATGGGAAGGGGTGGGTGGGGGAATGGGAATGGGAAAGGGAAAGGGGATGTCATCCGACTGTAGGGGAAGTGAGTGGGTGGGCTGGAATGTGGGGAATCGTACATTTATTGCAACATATAAAACATTATTTTGCATGGCCTCAAAAAAGAACGGCGCGCAACCGACACATAAAAAAAATGAAGAAAAGCGGAGCGCGCGTTGGAAAATTGCAGCAAGGAAATGCGACGTCGTCGTTGTCGCTGATGTCGCTGACTGTGACTGCGGCTGCGACTGAGACTGCGATGTCCTGACTGCTGTTGGAATTCTCATACAAAGTAGCAAGCGAATAAATAAAAATAATAAAAATATACGTTTCTTTCGACATTAGCGCTGCATTAAAGGAAGTGGCAGAGCGGCTGCCAGCGAGTCGCCAAACGACAACCGAAGTCAGGACCGGCTAGTGCCGCACTTGTCGTCCTTCATTTCCATGCGCAGCCAAGGAAAGGAAACGTGCCGTAAACTACAGCAGACAATCAAAATGCATTCATGTACGCTTACTTAACGTTATTTATAATCAACTCTACTCTGCAGCCCCTTCCCTGCCGACAATTGCTGCTATTCGTGCTGCTCCTGTTGACTTTGCTACCGCCGTTTGCCTTGCTTCCCCATTTCATTTGCAAGCATTCAGTAGCTCCCCATTCATTCAGCTCCAAATTCCATTCAATACGAATTGTTGCGAGCCATCAGTCGCACAGAATTTCCATTTGCTCGCAATTTCCACGCCTTGCCTTTGCACAGTCGAGCATTCCTTGGGGCTGCACGAGTCCTGCACCATGGCATGCCCGCACCGTGTTGCCCACAAGCTTAATACAAATTTTCGTTCTTTTTTTTTTTATTGAATGCCTAGCTATAATAATAATAATAACTCGCCTTGTAGTGCTGGAACGAATGCCCGTGGCGTATATTCAAAATTTCAAGTAACGACATCTGCTCAACTTGCAACAATTTTCCATTTTGATAAGCATCATAAATCACATTGAAATAATATTAAGAACCAATAGCTTGAGTTGATCCTTGAGCCATATGAACAACCTTCAAACTTGCTTTAATATTTTATTGCGATTTCACAAACAAAATTCAGGTAATATTTATTTAATTCGAGCAGCTGAATAGAATTCGTACTTTTATTAAAAATGTACTCAATTAAACTTACGAATTGGGAGAGTTCAAATATTTTTGTGCTTATTGGAGTGCTTATAACTTATTTACATTTACATATACACATATATATATATATATATATACATGTATATATAAATACATATATATACATCAGCTGTTTACAATGGACGATAAATAGGCGATACTTCTGACAGAATTAAATATATTTTCTAAAATGATTATAAGTGTAAATCATTTGTTTTGCAAAAGCCGCAGCTGTACAGGAAAATGCCCAAGCTGCTTAATTAGAGCTGAAAGCATTGCAAGACCCATTTCAATAAGCTTTTAATTGTAAGTCCACTCTTATTCCACTTTTAATAAAAACTTATGAGTGAAACAAAAGTAAGCATATGGCACAAATAAATTAACTGCTGAAATTTAGAAAGTTAAATAGGAACGCACAGCACCACCTGATGTTGTGGTATGCGTGTGTCTTTGAGTGTGTGTGCTTTGTTTGCATTCACATTTTTGTTTTCATACATTTTCATATTTGTTATTTTTTGGCTGTTTTGTGCTTATTTCATTCCTTTCTTGTTGGCAATAAACAACTGAAGCTGAACACAAAACTGTACAAATACTTACACAGGCAAAGAAAGACGTGTAAACACTTTTTAGGGGCGCACCAATACGATGCCAACTACTACAACAGCAGCAAAAAAAAAAAACGCAGGGACCTAAAGGCATGCGTGCGTAAGGACGAATTGAGATAATTGTACAACATTTTCATATTTTAACAGAAAGTTGTTTTTATATCCTTGCCGAGGGTTTTATAATTTTATTACGAAATGTGTAACGCGTAGAAGGAGACATCTTCGGCCCCATTAAGTCCGTCTGCCCGTCTGTCTGTCTATCTGTCGGTCTGTCTGATGTCTATATTCCTCTCAGTTTTAAAGCTATCGTCAGGAAACTTTCCTAAAGTGCCTCTTCCTGTTGCACTCAATACATATTAGGTCCTTGTGTGAACAATTTTGTTTTCACAAAAGTTACATACTTATAACTATACGTCCTTCCCTTATTTATTCGCTTGGCAAAAAAATAATAATTAAAAGCGTCACATATATATGCAAAATCCTACCAACATCGGACCACTATATCTTATAGCTTCCATAGGAACGATCTGTCGCAAAAAAGGTTCCTGTATGTAAAACTTTTCAAGACTTACCTATACTCGGCATTACCTATTTTCCCTGTGCTTCTTAGATACGGGTAAATCATTATGAGTATTATGAAAAGGTCTACAAGAGTTTTGAGTCTTCGGCGTGCCAAAGATAGCCCTTCTTTCTTGTTTGATTTTCCTTTGCTTTTGCCTTGACAGTTGCTTTTGCGCTTTGTCCTTTTTTTTTTACTTTGGTGCGTATAATTTATGCACGAGTTGGAAACCATTTGCCAACCAGCCAATAAAAGGCTTAAATGCTCGCCCAAACCTGCTCAATAAAAAGCTACGTCCAGATTGTAGTATTAACCAATCGCAAATAGTTAAAATTAAATTTCCTGAAGCAGCTCGCCAATTGCTATAAATAATATTTATTAAAAAAACATTACAGTAAACATAAAAATGTGCGCATTATTTAATTGTTATTTGAGCCATATAATTTCATTTGTGTTTCCTGCGTATTTCCTTCTTATGATTAATGCGTAAATTTATATAATAAATATTAACCTACATGTTTTTTTTTCAACATAATAAATTTTTTACACATCCCTCATATTAACTATGCATTTTTTTCTTTTCGTTATAATGCAATTTATTTACTTATTGACACAAATTCAGTTTAAAATATTAATTAAATTAAACGATAAAATTTTGATTTCACAATTATAATAAATCGATTCATTTTAATTAGAATCAATCTGTAAAGAGAATTAATTGCATTAAAACACGTCACTCGAAGTGGGATTCTAATTTGACTTCTGGGCGTATAACTATTTTATAAATTCAATTTATAACCCAAATATTAACCCAAACATTTGGTATATATTTTAATATTATATCTCAATTGCAATCAAATTGACTAGTTGTAAAGAATACACTTATGCAATGACAAGTTAAATAATTGGACAAAGACATATAAGTCAGATTGGGAAACTATTTTGTCGAATTTATTGCCCATCATTTAAAAGAAAGAAAAGAAACTAAAACAAGTATTGGCCAAATATTTTCATACATTCAACTCTAGTTTGCTTAAGCCACAAATGCATTGTTATTCAAATTCTTGCACGCAAATATCTTTTATTTCAATTAAACAAGCTTGGAAATATGTCCTAAGCATCAAGCTAAAAATACCTAGTAAAGTATTTTTAGCATTTGTCAAAAACGACTTCTCTGTCCAAATTAATTAAAAAATTTAAACAAAACTTCAGTCTCAGTTGAGGTCTGCCAAAAACACTTTAATCGATTTTGCCGTTAAATATCAGCAAGGGGAAAAATCCAAACCATTTCAGAGGATATTGCCCTAATAACAATTGTGTCATAATATAATAATAAATTGTGCCTCATGGGCACCTGCTGAGAGGTACCAAGGACTTTAATAATGTCACATCAAAAGCCACGAAAGAAATAGGAAATGTGCAGGGGGGTAGTAGTGTCTGAAGGGGAGATTCAGCTCAAAGTTCAAAGCAAATTGTTGTGGAAGGCAAAAATGAACATTATCATCAACAGGAGGCAGGACGATAATGCTCGGCTACCATCTATGGGATACTCATTTCTACAAATGCAGACACCAAGAGAAAGGTTCACAAAACACACACACACAGTACCATTAAATGGCATTGTCTGTGGGTGTGTGTGTGTGTGGGTATTGGCTATGTGACTGCGGGCTGCAGGACTTTAGGATCCCAGAAACGGGGGCAGCGGGTGTTTTGACAACGCACAGCATTCGCATGTCGCCTGCTGCATATTAATGAAGTGGCTGCCACTGGCAGCACCAGGCGAAAGGGACGGAGGGGGTTAGGGGTTGGGGTATGGGGTGCCTGGGGGCAGGACGAGCACGGTTTTGCCAGAAGCACTCATCAATTTCTCAATATTACGAATTCGATGGCAAAAAACTCTGCATATGAACCGCAGGGCCACAAAATGTGGCAGATAAATACATATAAATAAGCAAATACACAAAGATACACTTCTATATGTTTATAGGCATAGATTTATGGGCCTTTCTGCTTACCAGAATTGTGCAAACCGTTTAACATGCTCGCCCGCTTATACGCTGAGACTTTAAGCTCTGACTCCAACACTTTTCCGCCAGTTAATTTTTGTGTTTTTTTTTTCTCGTTTGCTTTTATTTTTGTTTTTGTTTTGGTTTTCGTTCTCTTCTTTTTGCACTTCACATGTAATTCACATAATTTTCTTGCCTTGATTCACACTCACGTCAACAAAGTCGCGTAATTACTGTTGCAGTTGCCGCCTCGAGGGCAATGGCAGCGACGGCGTATACGTAACGTAATTTGTCCGAAAGTGTATGCGTTCATGGGTGTGTGTGCGTGTGTGTGAGGCGAATGCAACACGTGTGGTTGTTAAGAATCCGCGCGATTACCACACAACTCATCCGGCCGAGGCACGAATTTGAACTGAAATTGAAACTGGCGACAAATGTGAAACAGGACTCGCCGCACTGTGGGCCGCACACGAAGTCGACACGAACGGAACAAGCGAACGGACGGACGAGCGCTGCGTTGAGAGCAAGGACGACAGAGAGCGGTTTTCTGTCTGTGATTGTGGCTGCTGTCGGCTGCTGCGTTAGATAAGAAGTTAACTACTTGCTTGAGTTAACAATTTAACTAAGAAAACTAAGTTAATGTCCTTTAACCACACATCCTTGAATAAACACTTATCCTTTGTGCAGCTGGCATCCTGGCAATATCAGTCTTAAGACTAGATGCTTCAGTTTTTAAAGCCCCTTATGATTATTCCCACCTTACCAGAAGTTGTACCCATCATAGCTGTGCTTCAACTATGCCAAGCACAGGCTAAAGCGAAGGATATGTAGAGAGTGTGTGTGTGTCGAAGAGAGCGCGCGTGAAGTGACAGCCAATTATTCTCTTTCGCTAATAATGCGAAAATATCCACGAAAATAAAGGGACTTTTGCGCTTCTCTTAATCAGCTGTTTTGTTTGGCTGTCAGTTCGAATCGAGTCCTTTTGCATTGCAGTAGGTCAGGCATGCTTTCAAGTGCTTTGTTAAAGTTGTTAGTCCTTACAATGGCTACAAAAGGGGGCACGCAATTTAATGGTCAATCTTTTGTGTGTGAGTCCTGTTCAATAATATTCCTATCGGTCTGGCTTTCCTATGTTGCAATAATGCTAATCGAAATTAAATGGACTTGTCGGTCTAAGGGTATTGAATACATTTCAAGAAATGCTGGTTAGGTTAGGTCAGTACCGAAGCCAAGCTCATAATCCTTTAACTAAGACTATTAGACTATATACCCGTATGACCCAATGGATGTGAATGTGTGTTTTGCAGACAGAAAGAAATCTTATGAACTCTATCGTCAAAGGTTGCATGTACGCCAAACTCTTCTTGAATAATTAACGAGAACGAAGATGTAATACCCTTGTAGACTCAACCTTTTGATAATGCTTATAGTGGTTTGCCCGTATCTAAGAAGCGAAGACAAATTAGTTAATGCCGAGTAGTTTCCAAATATATGAGTAGTATAGTATAATTATCTTAATAAACAAAAAATTTGTTCATACAAGAACCTACTTTTCGACCGATCGTTCCTATGGCAGCTATATGACATAGTGGTTCTAACACACGTACTGCGTGCAACAGAAAGAGGCAAAATTAAACAATTTTTTAAGACAAAAGTTGCAATTAAACTACAAATATCAATGGTTTTTTTTTTTTAATTTTTATACCCTGAACCCATTAAAAATGGGTATAAGCGTATATTAAATAAATAATAATAATATTGTATTTGTGCAAATTCCAAATGTATGTAACAGGCAGAAGAAAGCATCTCCGACCCCATAAAGTGTATATATTCTTGATCAGCATTAATAGCCGAATCGATCTAGCCATGTCCGTCTGTCTGTCCGTCCGTCTGTCCGTATGTATGAACGCAAGGATTTCAGAACCTATAAGAGGACTTACAATCCTAATGCCTGCGCAGATCGAGTTTGTTTCCGATAATCGATAGCTTACTCAGTTTCCAAGCAATCGATAAAAATCGATATCGATATTCTGTTTTTTGGGCAATTTTGGAAAATAATAAGAGCTAGCGTCACCAAACTGGACATATAGCTTCTAAAGTGGAATATATATATGCATTTGATGTTGGAAGAAGAGGGTTCAGGGTATCCCCTAGTCGGGAGCTCCCGACTAGAGCTTCTTACTTGTTTTAATACTGAAACTGTTTATTCTGACTGACTGTCTGGCTGACTGACTAAGAAGCTGAAATTTTCACAATAGTTTTCTTATGTGTTTACCATTCAATCAACCTCAAACTCATTTTCAAAGATCTTTGTTCACATTCATTTGAGGAGTGTTTCACACTTTTCGGAAAATCCATCCGCCCTTCGGTAAAATAAGCGTCAAAGATTGGTGGCATACGTTGCGCATTCGAATTCATTTTCATCATTTTCGTTATGAAAGTGCATTTGAGCTAATTTTTCACACTTTTCCCAGAATCGAAACTTCCACGGTGGCGAAGTTTTGAGTCTTGTGCGAATGTCTTTTTTAAATCCTTGTATAATGTATTAGAATAAGTTCTTCAGCGATTTTAAAAATTCCACCTGCTCTGGTAAATTGGTGGAAAATAGTTGTATGAAAGTTGCTTCTTAACTATCTAATCGACTTCAAAATCATTTTCAACGATGTTTTTATTTTAAATAATCATGCTCAGACTTATTTTTCAAGCACTAAATAAAAACTTAATGAATACTTGATTCGAAATTTGGAAACTCAACCTGCAAGAAAGTTATTTATCAAATTTGAGGCACAATTTGGTGACTTGCATATACGCTTGTTTGTTATAAAGGCATTAAGTATAATAATCAAAAATCAACAAAATATTGAATTTCTGGCCCTGTCCCACATGCAAGTTCAAATATTAAAATCGTAGCGCCGCAAGCAGTAAAAGTCAAGCAGTGGAAAGCAACGCGTGCAGTTGAAGCTCAAAAAGCTTAGCGAGCACGGCAATTCAAGCGGAACACAATGCTCACACCAATTGGCAAGCTTACCAGCTGCGCACACCGCAAGCTTTTAGATACCAAAAGCTTTTGGTATTTTGCATTTAGGCACAAAACTGTGCGCGATTTGACAACACAGAACGACCTCCAAACAACCTTTTGACGTTTCGCTTGCCTACGTTCGGCTGTCTTTTACTTATTTCGCTTTGGAATTTCTCGCCAACGCCGCCGCCGCAGCCGCAAGCCGAAAATAAAAGCGTCGGCAACTCAACTCCAGTGCAGCAGCAGCAGCAGAGCCAGCCGGTAGCCAGCAGCAGAGAGCGGAGCAAAATAAGAAAACACCCACACAGTTTCATTTTCCAGATCGGTGAGTGTGTGTGCAAACGTCTGTGTGTGTGATAAAAAAAATTTAAAAATTAAATGAAATAAACTAAATAATAAAAAAAGCGCAGTTCGTAATCTTGTTATATCAGTGCATTGCTTTGTTATTCTCAACCCAAGCAGTTGGTTTCGTAATCGTTTTCGCAGTTGTTAAAACTGAAAAAAGTTACAAGAAATTCTCGCTGTGCGTGCGTGTGTGTGTGTGTGAGTGAGCTTTTTTCTTTGGCTGGAATTTTTCTAGCTATGAGTTTTTATGATTTCCTCTTGAACTTTGTAGTGTTCCCCTTTGCTTATCGCAGACAACGTCGTTGACCTATGCAACTGAGCTGATAAGAAACCTGAGTACGCTGTCAGCTATCGAATAACTGTGCTTACCACTGCATTGCCGGTTGCGACCCCCCCTCCCCCCTCCTCCTCACCCCCACCAACATCTTCAACCAACCAGAAACCGCTCTACCATCGTACACTGCACTTTAGCTATATTTTCACTTTTGAGTTCATTTGCTTGTTGGCAGTATTTCAACTGCAATTTGCTTTATAAATAGTTGCCCCACGTCTTATGCATACATATAGCATATACATATACATATACATTATGTATAATTGTCTATATGCATCTATTCATTAGCTTTCGTTTAGTTTTCAATTAAATGTCGTCATTGCTGTGCGTTTGTTGAGTTCATCAATTGGCATTTCCCACCCAAAACGGAGAAACCTTTTTCTCGCACATAACTCAAATCAGCACAACAAGAGGGAAAGAGAACGGAAGAGAGATGGAACGTAAAGAATATGCGCGGTCCTGCTCGTGTGTGGCCGCCACTTTAGCAATTTATCTTGCTCACAACGCGTTGTTCCCACATTTCAGGCCTTACATAAGAGAGTGATCCATCCATAGATAAAGAGAGAAAGAAAGAGAGAGAGAGAGAGGAGAGATACAAAGAGAGTGGAAGCGGAATGGTAGAAGAATATTAAGGGTCAAAATAAGACAGAAAAAAATACTAGGAAGCAACTACCCTTCAATTTGAATGCGTACAAACACGTTTGTGAATGAATCCCATTCTGGTGTACGTGTCAGAAAAGGAATTCGCCTTCAAAACTCTTAGTTTCCAATTATTATTTAGACATACCTTATCAATAACACAAAAATATCTCATTAATATTCAAAGGGGCATGTCAAAATCATAAAGATATAAATCATAAAGATATAAATGTAGCTGCTTTTTAGGCATAAATAGATCCAGAATATAGAATTTTTTAGAGAAATAAATAAACATTAAAATGAGGTGAAATAAAATACTAAGCAACAAAATACAAAATATTACATTAGCATAGAACAGATTATACATTAGATAAAGTAGAAATAAATACATAAGGATTAAAGACTGCACGAAACTTCTAGTAACTTCTAACTTTTGTTTTTCGTTTTTAATATCAATTTTAATTTGTACCCTTATATTTTATTTGTTAATTTGCATACATTTCACTACAGCTTCTTCTACTCATACACAATATAACGCCCTACAGTGCCGCCTCTCTCTCTTTCTCTCTCTCTCTCTCTCTTTCTCTCTCTCTCTTTCTCTCTCTCTCTTTCTGTCGCTCTGAAACGCTCTCTCTTCCTTCCTTCTCTCACCCATTCTCTACTCACAGGTCAGTTTCTTCCTGCCTTGGCGCAGCTCGTATTTTCGTACTTTTGACCTATTGCTCATGCCTGGAGGCGGGGCTTTTTGTTGTGATCCGCACCACACGCGCAGCTACAATAACATCCTGAGCAAGTCTCAGCGATAACAACATGCTGTTAGAGACTTTGGAATCGCTTATTGTCAACATTGAGGGGCTCGTTTTCTTATTTGTATTCTTGAAGTGAAGGTTAAATTTTGAGCTGCATGACAACAGCAGCAAATCAAGATGCTTCCAAAGTTTCCATAATTTTCGAAAATCTCATTTTTTTTCTTGTCGTTTTATCAACTTGTTTTTTTGTTCGTAGCAGCCGCTTTATATGTATATGCACACGTTTTCGTGATATTTAGACACATGTGTCTATTATATTTTTATAAATACACACACACACACACATAAGCATACATGTTTTTTTGATAGCGTTAATTTATGTTGGTTTTTTTTTGTTGCTGTCGCTCGGTTGTTTTTTTGTGCTACTTTGTGTTTTTTCCATTTATTCGTCGAATTTCTTTGACTACATTTCAGTCTTCAATCGATTGCCGGCTCGTGTAGGTGACAAGTGAGTGAATCAGCTTTGCATAGATAACTAGAAGACAATAAAAAAAAAAGGCTTTATATGTAGTGTGTATAAAACAACGCAGTTCTTAGATTCCCATCCTATTTCCAAGTAAACAAATTTCCAGCTGCATTTTATTGACTTATCAGTTGCGGTTGTCGTGCTAATCAGTTTGTATATATTTACCTGCATCATATGTGTATATGTACGAATGTATGTGTTTGTGTGTGTGTTTTTTTTTTTGGATTGTGCGTGCCTTTCAATGTCAAACAAGTCAAGCAACATTGCGACTTTGTTGTATCTAAAACTTTTTCTCTATATAACACTTGCCTTCCTTCAACTATCTCTCTCCGACTCTCTCTCTATCTCTCTCTCTCTCTTTTTAATATATATATGTATATATATATATATATGGCTATCTCACTTTTACGCGCCACACGCGCCCGTGTAGTGTTTAACCGTTTCATAAGCAACACGTCACAAATTCGCCGCAGCAACATGTTGCCTCTGACCTTGTCCAATGTCACCGTTTCGGAGCATGCGCCGCACACGTCACGCAGCAAAAGTGAAAGTGGACGTCACAAGTATCGGCTGTCTCCAACGCCCTACTCTCTGGCGGGTCTTACATTTGCCCTCTCTGAATTTCCGCGCCCTCCGCTTTGATTACATCAGTCGGGGCTGTAGTTAAATTCGCAGTCTCGACTTGGCTCAGTTGCTGAAAAAGCATTGTCGAGGTTGGTTGAGCTGCTGGAGCTAAAATAAAAATTCAAGTGATTAGTTAGTGACTAATAATGTTTAATTAATGGAGTCTGCTGCAATAGGGCAGCTCTTGTTGTAAATCTGTGAATTTGTAATTACTAAAGGTTGCTTTTAATTGCAATAGACTGCTTATATATATGCAATTAGTTGGAATAAATGAATTTTTCACACTTTCTACTGCCAATTTTAAGAAAGCAGAAGCAGAAAGTTGTTGTCAACATTGTTGCCCAAACAGGAGCAGCATCCTATGTATTTTATGTACATGTATCAGTTTATAAACATGTATCTAAGCCGTGTTTGATAAATGCAGAACCATAAAAAGTGAAGCACACTTTATATAATATGCAAGTGTTTGCAGTGTTTGTTTATAAAAAGAAAATTTCGCACATTGCTCTGCCACTTTTAGCAACACCCGCAGCTTGGCAACATTGCTGCCCACATTTAAGCAACATTTGGTGTGTATGCGTGTAAAATGTTGCCAGCGCAGCAGTCAGCCGTCAACTCGCTCTCTTTCTACGCACTTAGACTCTCTCTTGTCATTGCTCTCTTTGAAAACAGCTGTGCATTTGCAAAGCTTTCAAAACCTTAAGCCCCTTTTGATTGATAGATATTCATATATATTTTTTTCCGCCCGCGACAGACGCTTTGTTGTAGTTTACACATACAAAATTTTTTTAAGTTATAGCTTATCAAAATTTCAATTGTTTTAGATATAAACATACAAGTAAAGCTCACAAACTGGAAACGGTGTCAAAATTCTTAGTTCATATAGACAGCGCACTCTTTTGTCCCCGCCCAAATGCACTTCAGCGCACTCCGACTGCTTAAATCTATTCATAACAATCCTTTATCGTATAAAAATAACTCACAATGTCAATCCGGGCCATTTCAGAAATTTACGCGAATCTCAAAGATGACCACCTACTTCAACTATCCCAGCAAGGAGCTGCAGGAGGAGCTCAGAACCATTGCCCAGGCGATCGTTGCCCCTGGTAAGGGAATTCTCGCCGCCGATGAGTCTGTCTCGACCATGGGCAAGCGCCTGAAGGATATTGGCGTGGAAAACACCGATGAGAACCGTCGCGCCTACCGCCAGCTCCTGTTCACCTCTGATGATAAGCTCGCCGAGAACATTTCTGGCGTCATTCTCTTCGACGAGACTGTGTACCAGAAGGCCGATGATGGCACCACCTTCATCCAGTGCTTGAGGAAGAAGGGCATCATTCCCGGCATCAAGGTCGACACTGGTGTCGTGCCACTGATGGGCTCCGAGGATGAGTCGACCACTCAGGGTCTGGATGATCTGGCCAAGCGTTGCGCCAAGTACAAGAAGGAGGGCTGCGATTTCGCCAAGTGGCGTTGCGTCCTGAAGATTGGCAAGAACACCCCTTCATACCAGGCCATCCTGGAGAATGCCAATGTGTTGGCCCGCTATGCCTCCATCTGCCAGTCGGAGCGCATTGTCCCCATTGTGGAGCCAGAGGTGCTGCCCGATGGTGAGCACGATCTGGATCGCGCTCAGAAGGTCACCGAAACCGTTCTAGCTGCCGTCTACAAGGCCCTGAACGATCATCACGTCTACCTGGAGGGCACGCTCCTTAAGCCCAACATGGTCACCGCTGGCCAGGGAGCCAAGAAGAACACACCCGAGGAGATTGCTCTGGCAACCGTCACGGCACTGCGCCGCACTGTGCCCTCTGCTGTTCCCGGTAAATTCTTAGCCCTCATTTAAAAAACTTGTAATGCATTTGCTAACTGATCTTCGCTATGCGCAGGCGTCACCTTCCTGTCGGGTGGACAGTCCGAGGAGGAGGCCACCGTTAACTTGAGCGCCATCAACAATGTTCCACTGACCCGCCCCTGGGCTCTGACCTTCTCGTACGGTCGCGCCCTGCAGGCTTCCGTGCTGCGCGCCTGGGGTGGCAAGAAGGAGAACGTCGCCGCTGGACAGGGTGAGCTCATCAAGCGCGCCAGGGTAAGTTTTACGCTATGGTTAAACAGAGTTTGGGCTAAGCGATACTTTGGGTTGCTGTAGACTTTCATCTTTGCCAGGGCTGTTGGCGGCTGTTAGCAGGAAACCATGTTAACCAAAACATACAATAACCTTATCATCCTTATTCCTCATCACATTCACTCATCCAGGGCAATGGATTAGCATCCAAGGGTTGTTATGAGTCTGGCTCCGTTAAAGGCGCCGCTGGAGATGCAGGACTACATGTCGAGAATCATAAATACTGAATACCCACCGCAAGAAATCACATTCGAAAAAAAAAAAATAAAAAAAAAAACCGAAAACCATTTTAAAGAGGGAGGATGATTATATTGGCACTATATCTGGCGATCTGAACGATCTTCAAGTTGTTTTGAAACTTTAGGCGTGCATTATGCTGTGTGAAATGTGCTATATGTATCTTTTGGTACACATCTTATTTTGTAAACCCTGTAATACACACACAAGGAATTTCAGTTTTGTAGACATTGTAGAGACGCAGGAAAACAAATAGACTGCGAAGTCTTTCCAAAATTTTCAATGAAAGCCATCTTATATTTTATAAAACATTTATTATATATCTTTTATTGTCCATTCTTTCTTTATTTGGTTACACTTTGTTTATTAAAATTTTCCACCTATTGACGCCCTCTGCAACATGCTCTTCGAATAAATTAAATTCCTGAAACTGACATTAGGCATGATATCCTAACCATTTGTTTATGCTAACCAATAACATTATCACAAATCAACCATTTTATTTAGACATAAATAAAAAATAATTAAAAAATAAATGCATATTTTAAATCCCTCTCAATTATTCATGTACATTTTTTGCACAAACCTATATTTCATTTTAAAAATGCATAACCAATAAAAATAATAATTTAATGCATGCATGACGATATTTTCTAAAAAAAAATACACAAATAAAACATCATTTTAAATATTGCCTACAAAAACCATTTCAATTTATCTTCCACATGAAATAATGCTTTATATTATTTATCAATAAATTCATTACTATTTATTACCTGTTTCACCTAATGCTTTATTGTTGTATTTCTTTTAATTTGTTGTATTTACGCACCTCTCATTTTGCTTTAATGTTTGTTCTTAAACCCTTTTTGCGCGCTTTTTCAACTAATCCCAAACCAATTCCTGCTTTTCCTTTTCTGTTTATCCCCGAAACCCTCAGGCCAATGGACTAGCCTGCCAAGGCAAATACGTGGCCGGTTCGATTCCCTCATTCGCGGGCAATACCAGTTTGTTTGTTGCCCAGCACAAGTACTAAACAAAATTAAAGACAAGTTCCAGCAAATGCAATTCGTAACGGCCGCTGTCTTAACCCAATTGGCTTACCTGTGCTGCGAGCAAGCCCGAACACATTCCACACAACAGCACAGAAATGGAATTACACACCTAAAACCTTATATAGATGTACAACTAGAGTTCTAATTATGACAAAATATAATATTACAATTATAATTTTTTTGACATGAGCCTACATTTATAATTTCTGAATGTCAGGAAAACAAAAACGAATAAATTATATTTACGAAAGTATTAGACTTTGTGGCTTTAATTGATGAAATCCAGTTTTAGTTAAGAATAAAAGTGAACTTAGGAAATGTAGGAAACATACAATAAAATTTATTGTTTTATATAAATTGTTTCTAGATTTTCTTTATATGTGTTACATTTCAATTTTTCAAATTATATTTTTTTTTATTATAATACGTAAGCGTGTGACTTTAAAATATGTATTTATGATTTCATTTTATGCATTTATTTATTTTAAAATATTAATCATACTTTATAAGCAGTTAAAAGTTAGTTTAATTTGCTAACAACCAATTTACTTAACCTGCTTGTCAATATGCACTGCTAGCAATGTCTACACGAGCCTTAATTAATTCCAAAATTAATTAGCAGCAAAAACTTATTCTCACACACACTGATGCACACTGTTAGCCGGACACGGGGCGTTTTTAGAATTATAGGAATTACATGCCGGGTCAGCTTAAATATGGCAAGAATATAAACCTTTTGGTCTTCCTCCTTGTTTTGGGCCACAATTAAGCGTAATCGAATAAACTTTTAGCTCCAAATACTTGCAAATTTAATTTACAAGAAAAAGTTTTCAACGTGTGGGGTTTTTATATTTGTGTGAGTGAAAGTGGGGCTTATACGTAAAAAGTTGGAAAAATTGCCGCAGGTAAGACGGGGCCAACGTAGCCAACGGGGCCAACTTCCAATTTACAGTTCAGTGGGCCATGCCAAAAATCGCAGTAAAAGTTGGAAAAACAAAATCTTGTGTTGCGCATTTTCTGGTGGGTGTTAAGCTTAAATATATGGGAATTTGTCTCGGGGAATCGTAAGGACACTATAAAATGCTAAATTTATTAACGTTTTCTTCCCATTCTGTTCTCCTCAGGCAAACGGCGAGGCTTCCGTGGGCAAATACGTTGCTGGCAGCGCCGGCTCCGGTTCTGGCTCTTTGTTCGTTGCCAACCACGCCTACTAAGGCGGGCAGCAACCAAGCAGCAGATAATAATAAAAGGAAGCTAATTGCTGAGCAAAAAAAAAACAACAACAACTTTTCCAGCAATTTTCATTATTTATTTTGTAAGTTACAAGAAAGCAAAAAGCGAAAAAGCAAGCAACAAAAATTAAAAAAAAATTTACCACAAGAATGTTTGAAAATGAAAAAATTATGTTTATTGAGAAGCAAATTTACTTTTAGTTCTAAGCACAAAAGCAAAACGAAATGTTGAAGTTATGCAAATTATATATATATTATACGATGATTATAAATTATTATGTAATATTTCAATGTTCGAAATCCACTTGCAAAAAGCATGTCGTAAATCGTAATCGCAGGTAAAACAAACAACATCAAAGATTTTTAACATTGAAATCACATGAGTTTCTTATGTTTCTACTTATTCATTAATATTTTGCAATGTTTGTATACAAAAAGCTATGAGAAAAATGTTTCATAATTATTATTATTACACTTTATATTTATGATTATGATTGTAATTATAAGTGAACAAAAGGATGCAAATAAACAAACGCAATCGAAATAAAAACAAAAAACAAAAACTAACCCAAAAGTCAACAAAAAAGCTACAAATCTATGATTTTATCGGCAGAATCAAGCTGATCTATATCTATTTCAATACAAAAATGCATGAAAGAAAATGCATGAAAGAAAATAAAACATTGTTATTGTTAAAAAGCAGAGTTTATTAACAAAACCAAAATATGAATAATAATATTTGTAGTTGTGCAAAACGGTGCAAAGGGCACTCGATTTTGCAGCTTTCTATTGTTATGGTTCCATAGAGATTGTATCTCTTGGTTCGTTTTGAGGCATCAGCGAGTATTCCTCGAAATCAAGAGACAAACAAAGCAAATAACTAACCCCACATTTATCTATTCTATATATATTTATGATTCTTTTTATTATGTTACTCAAATTTCTTCTATATCTATATATATATATTTCTGCATATCGTTGTTACCCACAAACATTTTAAATGCAACACAGTGCATATACCCTACATTTATAAGCAAACTTTTAATTTAAAAATGAACATTAGCAAAAAAGAAAAAAAATGAAATAATTGTATCTCATTTTATAATTTTCTTAATTCCTGAAAGCGAAACGTACAATAACAACAACATCATGTTTCACTTAATTAAATAGCTCAAATATATGAATATCCTACAACATTATATAGCTAAAGTATATGACAACTCGACAACATTAATATTAAACAACAACAATAAAAAAATCTATAAGGCAGTTGAACGAACATCATTCAATAAAAACTCGACCTTATAAAAGAGCAAAATACCAAAAATGTGTTTTCATCTTAATTAACTACCAAAATAAAAACAAATACTGTTGCATATAACAGGGCGAAGTTACGAAGTTTGCAAAACTGGCTAACAGCTTGACAGGGATTGAACTAAAAATGACCTGGAAGGGAAATTTAAAATCTTATATGAATAATCCGGAAAGTATTCTCTCAAATTTATTAGTAAATTACATTTCAGAAATTATTAAACATATTTTATATTTCATTTAAGTGAAGCATTAAAATTTTATATATGTTGGTCTGTTATACCAGGTTCTAGGTTCTATATTCAAATTTAAAAAACTTTTATATAAAACCAGATTACAAATTTCAAATTTGGATCACACAATAATGTTTTGTGAATTGTACCAAGTAGTCATAAAGGTGGAGGATCATCTAATTACTACCCGATTATATTCCTGACTAGTATTAATAGCCAATTTGAAAGGGACCATATCCGTATGAATACATCCACCTCCATATTTAATAACCTATTAATATTCAGATTCAGTTGAGACTCTTGGTTTCCCTTTTCAGCTAGGTTTTTGCCTATCTTCAAATCTTGATGATGTTTAAATACAAATCTCAAAAGCCATTCAAATAACTAATTGCCCAGACACGTGATATTGATTGTGTTTCTTACTGTCTACGAATATCAATAGATACTTGGAATAAGCATGTGATTGAATATACAAACATACAGGCATACACACACACACCCACACAAATTTTAGCTGGCAGCAAATATATTCATATTATTTGCAATTATCTACATTAAAATTCATATTAATAAGTGTTTGAAATTTTAACAACATATAGCTAAACATTTACTCATGTGTTCTGTACACTCAGAATATACTAAAAATATTTCATGGAGAAAAAAGTTTATATTAGACTATTTATGAGACAGCTTTTCACATAATTTCTACCGTTCTACCATTTATGCTGTCGTCAATTAAATGCTCTCTTTAATATTTGCTTTCACTTCTCTCTACTAATTTAAATTAAGTTTTCATAATTACAATACATCTGCGATTTATAATTATATTTTGCCTTCATATTCTGATCAAGTTCGAATCGAATCGAGCGTACTTTTCACATATTATTCGCTTACTCTAGTATTTATGCTATCTTATTTAAATGTGTTGTTAAAAATTCGTTTACTTCCTTCTACTTTAAAGACAAAGTTTTAATAATTGTTATTAATGTGCTAACAATAATTATCTTGTCTCATCATTTTCTGTTCAGGATTAAATTTCAGTGAACACGTCCTCTCAATGATTTGCCAATAGATTTATTTTCAGACTAAAAGTGCATTGCTGCTTTTTTAGAATTTCTTGCTTGAGTGCTTAATGCTTCTTAATTGGTTACTGAGAAAAATAACTGCAAGGAGTTTCATTTATTTTTCTGACATTAGCTGATACCCACAATAATTATGTGCAATGTCAATGTCAAGTCTGATTTTCTTTCTGGCTATTTATAACATTCATAAGTATCTTCTTTTCCGATGCACGCTTAGCTGATTGCTGTGGGGTTTGTTTCCTGCTGCCATTTTTTCTATATCTAGAACACCTTCGAAGTGCCTCCAATCAATTTGAGATTCCATTTAAATGATATGTTTGCACTTTATTGGTAGACGTATCTGTGGTACGGCCTATCTCTTATTGTATCGCAGTTATTCAGAGAGTCGAGATAGCTGGCTCGAAATGCCTTTAACGAATTGCCTTGGCGTGTGCCGACTTTCAATGTACTTGGCTACAGAGCAAAAGTTCAAGTCCGAGACGCAGACAACGAATGCACTTCAATAATCAAAACATAGACTTCTCAGTTTTGTTTTGGGGCATATCTTCTGCAATTTTCATTTACAATTTCCTTCATTGCAAATGCAAATGTAAACAGACAAAAGGCAACGTAATCTGTCCAATGATCCGCAATTCAATGTTCTTTCCAGTTGTTGTTGCCGTGTCTGCAGCTGCATCGGGTGCAAAGTACCCTTAATCAGAATCAAATGAAATTCGCAGTGGGACAGACAGAGGAAGACTGAGAGAGAGAGAGAATGCTAGAGAGAGAGAGAAGGTAGAGAGAGACACACGGCAACAGACACGGCGACGACACTCAAAACCGCGACAAAGGCTGCGTCAATGCTTTCGCCCATATTTGACCACACGACATGCTAAATTGTCTTTTTTAGCACTCTTTCTAAATGGGTACTACAATTCTCCTAGAAAATATGTAACGATTTTTTTAAGTATAACGTGAACTTGCTAAGGATAACTTCATTATATTTAGAATTGGTGTTGTTCCCAAAAAAAAGTAACCAGGTTTTTCTCTCAATGAGGTATCAAAATATGATTATTTATCTAATCAAACTTATCTCTCAGCTTTGATGTTAATTAACGATTCGCAGTGCATTTCTATATTAATGTCTTAAATATAATAATTGTAAGCTTTGCATTTAAGTAAGGATGAGTATTTGTTTGTTAATTTACATAATTCCATCAAATTTAATTCTGGGAGTTTTTAATTTAAACTTCTCCTTCACAGTTCTGCTCTCCTTAGTTTAATAATTTTTATATATATATTTAAATATACAAAAAGGGATCATTTTTTACTTTTTATATAATACGACTTTTATATTTTTCGTTTTAACGACA